TTTAATAACCATTGATTTAAACTTGTCTTCCAAGCCTTTCTGGAAATGAGTAATAGATATTCTTAGTACTGTTTTTGGAAAGTAGATGAATTCCCACATTTCCTTTGTTCTTTATTTAAGAGTAGTGATTGAATAATATTCACTATAATAGGTGTATGTATATGTATGTATGTGTGTGTATATATATATATATATGTATATACCTATTATAGTGAATATTATTCAATCACTACTCTTAAATAAAGAACAAAGGAAATGTGGGAATTCATCTACTTTCCAAAAACAGTACTAAGAATATCTATTACTCATTTCCAGAAAGGCTTGGAAGACAAGTTTAAATCAATGGTTATTAAATCCTCAAACCACAATGAAAGACATTTTGCCCTACCTCAGGTCTCACAGGATCTTCAATGCCTACAACAGCAATGCATGTAAGACCAGTGACAATATCATTTTCATTATCCCATTCTGGTTCAGGTTCGCCAGCTGGGAAGTCTCGGAATGCTAGACATATTGTTCTGAGTCCCTCTGATGCCATAGGTTCTATAACAGTTTTTACAATATCATCACGGTCTCTTGGTCTGAATACTTTTGGTTCACCATTAGCGCTTAGTATCTTGAAACACCTACAAAAAATACAACCCATTTCAAGGCTCTGAATGTCAATGAAATCTCTTCCAACTCAAAAAGTTCACTCTCAATACCTAATAAGTTTTTTTTTTTAAAAAAAAAATGCTTTTAATTTATGGAAATTTTGTTTAACTCCACTGAACAATGTGTGAAAAATGTGTACCAGGGTTTAGTGATGAAGAGAAATTGGAAGAATGTTAGATAAAAATATGAAAAGGATAAAATGCAAACACTATGAATTCATAATGCACTTAACATGGTTTGGGATGAACTTAGAAGATTTCTAAGTAGGAATATTTTGATGCATAGTCTAAAGGTTAAAAACATTAAGACATAAGAGTTGTAGCAGTTAAGGCATCAAGATAGCAACTGGGAGACTGTGAGTTCTAGTCCCACCTGAAGCACAAAGCCAAACTGGGTGACTAAGCCTTAGGAAGGAGGCAATCTAGCCAAGAGAAGGTCCAGGCGATCACCAAGAGTCAAAATTGACTATGGTAGATAGTATAAAAATTGTAAGTATAAAACATCGTTTTCAAACAAGAGGAGCTACATTTATTGCACTATTTGACAAATGTTTTTAATAAAAGAATATTAAGCCTTCAAAATGTATTTTTCTCTCTGTGCAGTATATTCACAGCTATTACTAACTACAAGATTCTATAAATAAGGCACAATAATGAAACTGTTCAAGAGCTAAACTGATAAAAGCTTCCCAGGAAATGCCATTATTTTTTAACAGTAATTCCAGTAAATAATAAAATTCATAGTACTAGCAATCAAAAAAAGAAAGAAAACAAAGCACACACATCAATATGATTAGCAAAAAAAAAAAAAGATGGATGAGTGGGCAGCCTGGGTGGTGATTGAGTCTGCTATTAATCCAGTAGCCACTTCCAGAGGTGAACTCCCCCATTGAGTCTCCAGGTCAACTTGCAGGGTCAGATCTTTGGGCTCTTACAGAATTAGAGGAGACTGGGGACAGATCTTATCCCGGAGGTCAGGGTGTTCCAAAGGGCAGGTGCTGCGGCAGAGAAGGCTCTTCTTCTGGAACCTGGCAGGCAGAGTTCTTTGACCGACAGAATCTGTAGTAGGCCCTCTCTACCAGCATGAATAGGATGGGAAAGACTTAGTGGGACAATATGGTTCATCAGGTAGCCTGGACTTAATGCCATTAAGGGCTTTAAAGGTCATAACCAACTGCACTTGGAAGCAGACCGGTAGCCAATGTAGTTCACCGGGCAGTATAATATAAGCCATACTAGGGCTCCAAAAACTGGTCTCACTGGCACATTTTGCACCAACTGAAGCTTCTGAATGGATTTCAAGGATAGCCCCATGTAGTGTGCATTGAATTAGTCCAGATGAGAGATAGCCAGGGCTTGAGTAGCTGAGTACAGAGTCAAGATCCAGGAAAGGTTACAACTAGTGCACAAACCAGAGTGGGCAAAAGCTCTCCTAATCGCTACCTGCTCTTTCAGCAGGAGACATGAGTCCAGAAGATCCTCCAAATTGTGAACTGGTTCTGAACAGAGAAATACAACCCCATCAAAAACCAGAGATGACAAAGTGCAGTATCTTGAGGGTCTGTGCACTTAAACCCATTTAGTCTTGCCAGTGTACAGAAGTCCAGTGTCTCCTATCAAGGATCCCACAATCTCCAGGCATCACGAGAGGACAGAGACAACATCAGTTGGGTTACCACATGTAGAAATGTAGAATCAAGTATAATTAGCATATTGATAGTCTCTCAACTCATGGTGATGGATGCTCTCACTCAGTGGCTTCATGTAGATGTTAAATACAAGAGTAGAGAGTACCGAGCCTTGTGGGAAGCCACAAGTGAGTAGTTCAGGGTTGGAATTTTCATCAACACTGATTTTTCATCAATACCTAGGATTTTTATCAACACCAATTTTTTAATCCCTATCAACACTGAGTAATCTTAGACAAAGGAGCTGAACCACTTTAAAACTGTGCCAGCAAGCCCTATCTTATGAAACTGGCCCAAAAGGGCATCATGGCTGATGGTATTGAAGGCCGCTTTTACCAGAGATAGTCTATAAGTGTGACCAAGGCTGTCTCTGTCTTATACTCAGGCCTGAATCCAGACTGAAAGGAATCCAGGAAATCTATTTCACCTGCCAAATATCCACCTTTTCTACTACTTTCTCTAAAAAGAAGATGAACAACTGGACAAAAATTGTCCAGGCAGGTGGGATTGACTGATGGTTTCTTAAGGAGAGAACAAACAGAGCCTTCTTAAAAGATCCTGGGAATATCCCCTCTTTCAGGAATGGCCAAGGTAGGCTTAATTGTTTCTAAAATTAAGGAACTTTGTTAAAAGATACATTTATGAATTAATCTAATACCACATCATGTCAAACAAAAGTGTTCAATTGCTAATACAGATTAAAAACACCCTTATATCCACTTTGAAGATTGCTTGTTCAACATTATCAACAAAGCAAATATTCTAAACAGAATATATTCTAGTTTGAAAGGCTACTGAGAAGTTACAAATACAGTGTTCAAATACCAGCAAATACCCTTTCACATATTTAATCAAATGTCTATAATGGAGTTATTTAAATGCCAGAGAATACCATTTAAAAATACAAAGAATTTCCAAATAGAAAATATAACTTGCTTTTTAAGTACTATCTCTGAAGCACCCTTGCTGAAGATCCGGAAACTGCCATCTGAGTTCTTTAACACAGTACTCATAGATTTTCTAACAGAGTTGAAGGTGTAGACTTTATAGAGTGCCTCTTCTGGTATTTCATTTCTAACTTCCTGGTAATCTCGTTTCAAATCCAGAAGGAATCCCAGCAAGGCACATTCAGTTTTATTACCAACATGGCGAGGAAGGCCACCTTCCTTTTCAGGAGGCTGAAAGAAAATGCAATCTTTTTGACTAGGAATTTGCTTCAAGAAAAATAAGCCACAATAATTTAGGATTTAATCTTTTGGAAATAGTTTATGAATTATGAATTCTGTGATTAAATTAAACGCCTTACATGTAGCTTCAATGAAAGCCCATTTCTCAAGAAACACACTACAGAAGCTAAAATGGAGTATATTTTGTAGAATATTAAAAGATCAGTGGGATAATTGTAATTTGTCTTCAAGATTTAGTTACCTTTGGGGACTCAGATAAATTAATTAAAAAAAACTATTTTGACATTTTTGTCCACGTGCAATATTAAATGTGTATTTTAATCTCAGATAGAGATAACTTCTCAATAAGCCACACACCCTTCCCCTCCATACACATACACCTACTATTATTTAGGTTTTTATATCCCAGTTTTCCTCATGAGATCTTTTTAATTAGATCAAATTACATAACTGTTAGAAGCTATTGCGATCTAAAAACATAATCCTATATTACCACAAATGTTCTTTTGTAGTTGTGGAAATGTACATGAATTGACATATATAGCAAGTAAAATTCAATTCACTGACCATGCTCATGGGTTTTCAATAAAATTGTTTTTGCTGTCTATCTCGGTATTGTAAAATAGGATGGGGGCTGCAGCAATTTGCCAACTGTCAAACATGGATTATATCTGGTTTGGTGAGTTATTTAAGGCATTTCTCTGTATATGGTCTTGTAATATGAACCTTGTTAATCTATCTCTATAACAGGGGATTTCATTTTTTTCTCTACATTCTAGAACAGGGGTGTCAAACTCGCAGCCTGCAGGCTGGATACGTCACATGCCGGCTACCTCCACCCCTCTTTTAGTGAAGGAGAAAAAAGTTGCAATACGTCATGTGATGACGTGACAACGCAAGTTTGACACCCCTGTTCTAGAACATCTTAAAATCATCTGAAAAATTGCCTTCAAACATTTCTGAGAACAGCAGTGAGGTGGGATCAGATGGCTATGTATGTTCAAGTTTGTTTTCCCCTTAGTCCTGTGCAGAAGATTATTGGGAAATAAACTCTCTGAAGGGACTCACCCTTACTTCGTGTTTTCTTGTTTTAGCTCCACAGAACCCATTTAAGTGGCCACAGACATCTAGGGATTTGCAGAACCCAGTTTTTGAAAAAAAACCTCTACCTATGCTAAGAATATGCTATATACATTTGTTTGCATCTTTTAATAGACGGTCTAGTGGTTAAGCACCAGGCTAGAAACCAAAAGACTGATTTGCAAAAACAATGAGGGCAGGCTAATAAGTAAATAAAGCTAAGATCACTTTACATGATCATTAGTTCTATATTACCCAAAATAAAGTTTGGTTATGCTTTATAAATTTAAAACAGATTAACCTTTGAAGAGCAAATGTAAACATAGCATTTTACATTTAATGTTTATTTCCAACACCATTAAAGTCAAGAGAACTTAACTACTAGCATTAATTACAAGAAAGGTCTTGTAAGTTTAATTATGTTTTGTTAATATACAGATATTGTAATATGACAAATATTTAAAAAGAATTTTACTATATTTATCTTTAACAAGTTAAATTTAAGTAGTTTTACACAAACATTGATTAAAATATACTTAATTAACAAAATACTAATACTTAGCTTGGATTGACATATGTTCAATGTTAAAGCATGTGTCTTTTCAATATATACCTACCAAGATTTTGGAAGTATAAGCAGAATTAACAGAGATGCCTGTTACAAGATACGATAAGGTTTTATCGGGAAGAGCTTGTACTTCAGGAATTTTTTTATAATGCTTTTCACTGATATATGCTTGGACCACTGTCATTCTGTTCATTGTCAGGGTTCCTGTTTTATCTGAGCAAATGGCTGTTGCATTTCCCATGGTTTCACAAGCATCCAGATGTCTGACCAAATTGTTATCTTTCATCATTTTCTGTTTCAAAAAAGGACAAAATCATGTCTGAACAGTATTAAGGCATTCTTAAAAAGTATTTGTTACTATATTTCCCAAGTTGAATTTCTTATATGAACGCAAATGTGGAGGTTTTCCAGCAGATACCAGACAAAATAAAGGAGTAGACTGCATATTTGTAACATTTGGAAAGAATCTGGCAGGCTCCCAGTCTTTTAGTTTTCCAGAAGCCACTGGGATAGAGTGATGGGAGTCTAAAGTTAGTTATGGGGGCATCATCCTAGGAGATGAATGGGACACCAGGGGCATTTTAAAGGTTTTTTTAAAAAAATAGGTTGTAATTTTATTATTAGGGTGCGCTGCCAAGAGTTGTGCTCTAAGATAAATGGCCATACATATCTTTTATAAAAAAAAATAAACAGGTAAAATTTATATTTAATTCTAGATTGTAAGAGTGCCAGCCATTAGATCAGATGAATAATACAGACTGCTTCTGCTTGTTGCTCTCCTTCATGCCCACCTCCATCATGGAGCTGCCATCTGTTCATGTAATGCACTGTGTTCTGATATTTGGCTGTATCCTTTGGCTTTGATAGCACTTTCTGCAACTTAACATTCCTTTGTCTCGTTGCTCATTCTTAAGATGAAATGTTTTTCATCAAATTCCACTTAGGCGTTTTATCTCTGAAGTCCTCATCACATTCTATTACTAGATAGGCACATAAGACTTTGAAATGGACTTACATGCACTAGGGGTTAAGAAAGGCAAAAAACCATATGATGGGGGAACTCTCAAAGTCATTTCTGAACATTTTTCTTTGAAGTGTAGCATACTGTACTGTTCCATCTTTAGTTCTGTTCCCTCAGAAAGAGCCAGTTCCCCATTTGGGAGTTCTCTAATACTTGTACAGCAGCAGATGGAGGCTGTGACCAGGAAAGTATTTGCTAAATTTTGGCTGAAGTGTCAGCTATGACCATTCTTGCAGCAGAGAGTACTACTAATGGTTATTTATGCTCTTCTCACTTGGATTACTGAAATACAGTCTACATGTGGATGCCCTAGACACCACTATGCTAATATCGTTTGTAACTATAACTATGTTTAAAGTTAATATAAACTATAGTTGCCTGGCCTGCCTACTAATTATCTTTACTGGAGGACCGGCATTACCTATCAATTCAAAAAGCTTGCTATTATGTATAAAGTTCTAAACAGCTTTGATTTTAAATATTTTTGACACCAGTTACACCATGTAGAATCTACCCAATATATACTGCTAGGAAAGCTATGTTGCAAATCCGGTCCATTCGGGAGTTGAATACAATGTTTACTTAGAAATAACATTTCTCAGAGATAGTCTTTACCGAATGAAATCCTCTTGTTGTTCCTTCCACCTACACCCTATTAAGGAGGATACATCCTTCCTGTTAATATTCAGGAAGGCAGTTCAAATGCTGCTTTTTTTGCAGAGTGACAATACCCACGCATAACCCCTCCCTTGATTCTACTGGAAAATGAATTTCATCACATTACATTGCAAACATTATTTAACAAATTCTATGAGAAAGTTTGTGGTAGTTTTTTCACATTTAAATTCTGATCTGTTGCTTTTGGTAATGATTGACTACTATCTTGTTTTGCTTGTGGTACTGCCCAAGCTGTAAGCCATTTGTAATCTTTCATTCAAATGGCATAGAAAATTTGAAAATAAATGAAATAAGCTATTAAATAACCACTTCAAACAAATATTGCTGAAGTAGTTCCTTGGGGGAAAATTCCTATACTTAATTATTGCATAATTATTGCATAATTGTGCATAATTGCATACACAGTGCAAACACTACATCACTTTCTTTGCTCATACCTTTACAGAGTAAGCCAGCGAGATAGTTACTGCAAGTGGAAGACCCTCTGGAACAGCCACAACCAAAACAGTAACACCAATGATAAAGAATTTCACAAAATACTGAATATATATTGGTGTACATTCTGCAAGCCAAAGACGTTTCTGGATCCAGAAGGTATCAATTACAAAATATAATACAAGAATGATGACTGTGACAGCAGACATCAGCAACCCTTTCATGAAGAAAAGAGACCTAGTTAATTATTTGTCATATAAATAACAGTCTCAAATAGCATTCAGAGACTTAGTTTATAAGTCTCACCAATTCATAGCATTGGAAGGTACCTTAATGGCAATCTAGTATAACCCCTTAATGCCAAATTTAGTAAAGTAGTAACAGATTACCATTTAGACTCTTTTTAAAGATTCAGTGAAGAACTCACCTTTTTTCATGTGGTTACTTGTTCTACTTGCTGATAAACTTGTACAGTCAGGAAACTTCTCCTGACATATAACCTGCACCAATTCTTTGTAGTTTTAACCCATCAAATATGGTTCTGGCTTTATAAATAATAGAGAATAAGTCTATTTCCTCTTCTAGGTGACAACCATTCCGATATTTGAAAATTACTGTCATATATCCTTTTCAGTCATCTCTTCTGTAGTCTAAATGTAGCCAGTTTCTTTAATAATTATGCACAGGTTTCACCACTGGTAGCTTTCTTTGAATTTCCCCCAGTTTATCATTGCCTTTTTAAAATTATAGTGCCAGAACTAGATAAAATATTTCAAGTGGTATCTGACAAACTGAACCAATAGCTGCATGTGATTAGGATTTTATGGTCCTATAAACTGAATTCCAAGATAACATTTTCTTTTCAATAGCTATATCTCATTGCTGGTTCATTTTTAACTTGTTATCACTAAGGATATTTAGTGATACCCAGATCTTTTTCACATAGACTATTGTCAAGCCTTACCTATCCTCTATCTGTGCCTTAGTAATGTAAAATTGTGAAGATATTAAAACAATCTCTTGGAAGTCTAGAATTTTATGAACAATGGCACATATGATTTCAGAGTGCCAAAATCTATAGTACAAAAAGATCTTAATCACATATATACTAATGAGACCTGAACTGGTAATGACTGATCCAGAAATGTGTTTTGGAATTTTAGGTCTTACCTCAATGAGAATGTCAAAATATTATGTTGCAGTTAAGAAAAAGGAAAATTCTGTATTGCTCATTAGAAAAAACACTGAAAATAAAACTCTTCCGTTATATTACATCTATTCAAATTTAGTGTATATTTTAAAGCTGAAACTAAAAGCAGAAAAGGTAAGTAAAATAATGAAAGGATTAGAGTAACTCCCATAGGTTACAACATTTGAGATTGTTTTATTTAGAGAAAAGGACAGTAAGACAGTAAGTACACAGTACATAAATAATATTATTGATACTGCCATCAAAAGTATTGATATACAGGACTATTTATGGCTCTAAACTACTGTTTAGAAAATTATGGAATGTAAACATTGTCAATGGCTACTAATTCTGCCACCTCTAGAATAAACAAAGATAAAAAGCTTTCGAATAGCTACTGTTTTGGAACAACATGCTTTCCATGAACATTGTTTTGAGAATCAAAAGTAAGAAAAGGATATGTTTTCAAAATATTTTGATTAATTCAACATGGTTTCTAAATGTTCTATGATGCCCTAAAACAATTCTTATTAAAAAATAGTAAAATGGCTATTATGGTACCTATGAAGAGTATTGATGGTGATGGCAAATTCAATACATTGTAATGAGAATCATTAAGACAACATTGGACTTCCAGAGTTCAGTTTGTGAAAAGACTGTAAATCAAACCTAAACAAAGGTGTTAACTTTAGCTGATGTTCAACTACACGAACACCAGCACAAATTGAAATGTCAGCAAACACTAAATAACATTAGTTTGACAAGCCCAAGTAATCTATTTTAACTAGTCTGTTGTATTCTCTATATCACAATAATGTCAATCCATGGTTTTTATTCTCTGCAGAAACATAACAATTAAAAAGTCATACCTGCTTTGCCAATCTGAACTGCTAGTTTTGTAAGTTTTCCCTGTAGAACTGATTTCTCTTTCTTAGGCATATTATTTCTTTTTTTGTCATCTCCATCTATACCATCTTCGCTCTTCAAAGGTTGCATTTCCATGGCTGCACCATCCTGAGCTTTTGCTAAATTCATAAAAAGACAATTGAATGAAAATTTTATTATAGCTCAGGAGCAGATCATAAATTTCAAAACAACCAAATACAACCTCGGAATATAGCAAAATCTCATCAACTGACTGAATAATCTACTTCTGTTGTTGGGTCTGAAATCTGAATGTAACAAAATCTTATGGCTTGGGCACGGAAATGATCAGGTGTATAGGTAATTTCAGGGTACCTATCTTTTAGGAAGAATTCTAAACATCATTGGCCAGAATGGCCTGACAGTTCACCTATTTATGATTGGACCAGGTGGGAATGTAAAAATACAATTAAATAAGCTCCAAAAAATCTAGAGTAAATATAAAAGATATGAGATTAATTGTGTACAGTTTTAAGGGGAGCTACTTTAACACTTACTGAGAGAAATAAGCTTCAATCTTCAATCAATCAAAAATATATGTTTAAATTTCCAGAGTTTCCAGTAGGCATGTTATAACATTTCATTTCAAATCATATTAAGCACAAAATATCATGAATTTTGAGTTTAAAAACAAGCTATCTGTATATCTTGGAAGTCTTTTTAAAACAGAATGATTCCAACTCCAAACAGCTCTGCCTAAAATTATAAATACTCAGTGCAATCCATTTTGCACTGAATATACTGTCTCAAGAGCTACTGTATGTTTCACAAAGTTTTATCTGCACAACACTAAAAAAATAAAATATTCTGCTCATCATTATTAAATAGCATGTTAACCAACAAGTTAGGCAAGTATTTTTTATCAACTTAAAATATTGTTCTACTAGTTCTGTTCACTCACAGTGTAATTTTAATACTATCATAATATCATATTGTAATTTTAAGATTATCGTAAATCATATCTTTGACATTTAAAATTAAGATGCAGTGAACATTTTGCATAGAAGTTATTTTTAGGAAAAAATTAATACAGTAATACTTTCATTAGAAACAAACTGGAATACCCTGAAAAAGTGTGCAAGCTTTTGAATTCCACAGAATTCATTCAAAATGCTACTTTACCCTTTTTAAAAACCTAATGAAGAATTCTGGAGAAATTGAAAGCTTAGCCTTAGACACATTTTTGTGGCATTCTGATTGTTTCTAATAAAGTTGCTGTTCTAACATATATTTGAATTTTTAAAATATAAGTCATATTGTTACCTTTGTTACGATTTTCAATAGCACCATCTTGTTTTTTACCTAAAACCAAAAAAAGTTAACGTTTTCAGAAATTGGTAAATACTTTATATAATTTATTTTTTGTGACTGAGATATCTATTCCTATTAATTTGCTAAAAACCATTTTCTTTCAGAATAACTGGCAACAATGTGAATGTTTTTTGGACCATATAATGATTTTCAGGAATAAAGAACAATGCTGTATGTATAGAAGTCAATACTAAACAAAATGTTTAATTCTGTTTAAAATAAATATAGATATAAACTAATGTAGTAAGCCTACTAAAATATTCAGAGGCAGAATTTCTGAAGAAGTGATAAGAAAACTCAGTGGAGGGCAATTAAAGTCATTCTTAAACTTACAAGATTTCAGATATATTGCTAAAATATATTGATCAAACCCCAATTACAAGGTATTGTAGCTATTCATTTCTGATTGTTTAATTGTAATGCAATAATTTCTCTGCTTCTCCATCTGATTAATCCAATCAACTTTAATAAAACAGTATGCAATTTTAATTTTGTCCTTGCTTCAATTTTGTCCTTGTTCTTTTCTTGTAGCCTTCTCATAATCTCATGTTATTCCAAAGGGTTGTTCTATAACATTGATCATTGTCCATTACTACTGCATAATAAATCCCTGGTATGATCACAGTGAATATGAATACAGCATGCTAAAGTATGGTTCAAGATTTATTATTTAGACTTTTTAAATAATTATTCTGTCATGTTTATCATTATCTGACTTGTCTCACTGAACACATCTTACTTTAGTGATATTGAAAAGAACACTAGAGTGAAACTTGATTCTACAGGCTGACAAACTGAAAACTAGTTTGGAACATTAGTTTAAAATAATTCAGATACTTAAAAGATTCTAATTTTGTTTTTAAATTTATTTTGAATGACTGGAGTATCAGTGAATTATAAAATTATATTCCTCAAAATGTACATAAAGGATAAATGAACAACAAACTATCTGTAATTATCTCTAAAATAAATTTACAGGATTTAAAAAGTGCCTACTTTTCTTGTCTTTTTTCTCTTTTTCCTTTTTTTCATCTTCATCTTCCCCTCCAGCACCAAGTAAAGTAAAGATAATTCCAGTTTGTGAGTTTACCCCTACAGCAGTGACTACCATTCTTCCAGAACCTTCCATAACATGTGTACCTAGGATGAAAAAAAACATGTGTGAATTAAGGATAAGCAATGTGAATTTTGTAGCTTTATCAAAATGTTAATGCTTATTTATCTGGTAATATAAAGAGTTCAAGTAGCTCACATAGAGTTATCTTTCATTATATCTGTTATCTTTCAATAAACCTGTGATGTAGGTTGGTTGAGAGAAAGTCACAACGCAAAATTGCTAGTAAAACTTTATCCATGATAATAATATACAAAGCTATGGTCAACAAAAGCAGCACTAAAAATAAAAAGATATACTTATTTTATCAAAGATGAAGACACAAAAGGGAGTCAAATGCTCTTCTGGCTTTGAACTATTTCTACTGTAATTTCAGCATACTAATTGATTGGTTAGACATAGCTATCACATTATTCTCCTTCATGGTAAGCATGTAATGCAAAGTGCAGAAAAAAATGAATAATAGCAAAATAAAGGCAGGAAATAAGACAGAAGGAACATACATTTTATTTAGATCAATACCTTTCACTACTACTTTTTATATATTTAAATCCCTCTAGACAATGATTATTGGATGTTTTAAATATACATGTATAGGAATGGAGGAGAGAGAGAGATTACCATGAATTTTAACTTCAATCAATCAACAAGCAAGCCATTAGCCTATCATTTGTGGTGGAAAACTTTTCTAATCAGTCCTCACATGTCTCCTGCATCAATAAATAAAGATGTAATCTTGACTGATCTTATCTTCATTGTTTTGGATTACATTTTGAAGCTTCAGGGGAAGGAATTATGTCTCATAGATACAAAGAACAACTTTATCCGACTTTATCCTGACTCATTTGGAACTTATGGGAAGGACGTTGCCCTCTGAAAAACGTTTAAATAAAGGCATCCAGGGATCTTATGACATATTTTTTGTTTTATAGTGCAATTGGTACAATTCCAGTTTATAAAAGGAATTAGATATTAGAAGATATTTTAGAAATGTATTTATGATTTATTTATATGGTTTAGGTTTAGGTTTATTAGATTTATATGCTGCCCTTCTCCCAAGGACTCAGGGCGGCATACAACATTAAAAGA